TTCCGTCTTAACCTAAAAATACAGTTAGTTCACCCTTAGCGCGAGCTCTCGTCGGTTGTCACCAAGGTCCTCCTCAGTCACCATGTAGACTAGTAAGGACTCTTCTATCTCCATCTTTCGCTCCTAGCTCAACTTTTATCTGTTAACGGAACTTTCTTAGTGCAACTGTGTCTTCGTTTTTTGTGTGGACATTCCCAAACTTTCCACTCTGCCTCGACCACGACTGCCTGTATTTTGTGAGAACTTTTAAAGGTCTTCCAAGGTGCAGAGAGGTACTGGAAAACTCTACACAAGGCTTACCAGAACTTCAACTAATTTCAGTAGTCGACATCTAACTCAACAAATTATTACAGTGAGTCGACAGGATTCTACAAGAGTCAACAGTAACCTCAACTCATTACATATATATAGCTAACAAAATTCCATACTTTAAAGACAGTTTATTTTGAAAAGTTGAACGATCAGAAAAACCTTTCTATTGTTTTTTTTTTTCACAGATCCAAGTACGGCCTTTTTATAGAAGTTTGTAAAAATGTTACCACCTATTGCCGTACAACATCAATTAAGTACTATTTTCAAATATATTTTGTTTATTGTTTACATGTTGTTTAATAATTGAGGAGAATAAAAAAATAAAAGTCTATATGTTGATGCGGTAATAAATTTTGGTAAAATTAAAAAAAAAAATTAAATCAGAATTATTTTTCAAATAATTAATCCTTTATAGCTTCACTTATTAAACAATGCCATAGTATAAGGGGTTTCAAACTCCCCTGAACATTCTTTACATTCATAGACAAAACTCAAGAAGTTGTATCTTTTAGCATGGACATTGAGATTCAGGAAATAACTGAAATATATTTGATATACAGTGACCTTTATTGAAGACACGAAATAACCAAGTGTGAAAAAATTGCTTTTCCTTAAAAAAAAAACAGACTACAGGCGACAAAGAATTTTCATTCCTTAAGTTTTTATAGTATATTTTTTACCTTTTCCTTTTAAAAAATATATTTGAACATTAACTTTTTATAGCGCCAAAAGCAGAAGCGTTCATTTAGGTGCTATACATCACAAACTTTCGGACTTGTCTGTCCATTATAGTGTTCTCCATTTAGCGCTCTATACCATCTAACATTATCGTCTGTTATATTACTTTATGATCAATACAAAATATCTGTTATTCTTCCTTTCTATTATCGTAATATAGAAATTTGAATCAAAATTATGATTGACAAAATTTTTATTTTTACCAATTCTAGGAAATTATGATAGGTATAGTTTAGTTTTTTTATATTTAAAAACGAATAAAGTGGATATATACGGGGAAATAAAGATTGACCTAATTTTATAAATAAACACTCTTCAGAATTTCACTCGTTTACAGTAAAAAGTGGTGAACTTCGAAAAAAATTTAAATTATTTTAACAAATCTATTTCAACTTTTTTGCATCTCAAATAATCCTGAGCAATTATCTAAATATTTCTAAATATAATTATAAATATGCAAAATTTCATCAGCTCTATAAAGTTCAAATATCGAAATGAATCGCATTTAAATAATAGAAAGATGGACGTATACGTACTTGATATTGATCTTTTAAATAACGCGGAAGAAAATATAGAAATGAGACTAGCCCTTGTAGACTATGCAGAGTTCCAAATACTTTATCCCCAACAAATAGATCTCGAAAACATGATAATAGACCTGGAAAACTTTTTTAATATATATATAGCTCGTATCGTAGCTTATGAATTAGAGCCAGTTCCAATTGTAAGGACGTTACTGGAATGCTGGGAAAATGAACAACGTCATCTTCAGATCTTCATGATCCACATCTATAATTGAAAACAGACGAAACAATTTGAACCCTAGATAACAATGAATTATTTTGATTCAATCATCAAGTTTGCATTTACTGCTAGAATTGTGAGATTATGAATGATGTCGACGTAAATATTTTTTTAACAGTTTTATTTTTAATTTAATAATGTTTTCGACATATTTATTTATTCATATTTCCTTTTGGAAAAATGATCGTTTTTTTTCTACCTTTTGAATACTACCTGTATCTTATTTTCATATCGAATAAAACTATGCTTTTTATGATGTTTCTTAGAGGCTTAATGGAAACTGTTGATATTGACAAATATTAATGAAATTCATATTTTGAAAAATATATATTTTAAACTTTCTTCTTTTATGATATTCTTTTTTGGTTTTTATATAAATTCAAATAAATCTCTTTGCAAATATAGATAAAGAATTCTTCCTGAATTGAAATTAGACGAAAAACATGGTGAAGGAAGACGAGTTTCTTTTATTGATGCATAGGTGCAAGCTTTCGGGTAAAATTTATATATATATATTCCTTCCTACCATTTGTACCATATTTCTTATAAGTCGCGCTTCATTGCTCGCCTATTGAAGGGTTTTTACCCGAAAGCTTACACCTACGCATCAATAAAAGAAACTCATCTTCCTTCACCATGTTTTTCGTCTAAAACAAATCTCTCGCATTAAAAAAATATATAGTAAATATTGTTTACGAAAATTTGAATGTGAAATATTTATATTCAAACTACTCATAAGTATATTCATAGAAATAATTTTCCTTGCCAAATAATTAGAAGGCCTAATTAATGATTTTAATGGTGCAGGCTGTATGTTGAACAAATAAAATTTGGTCAAAGAGGCCTGCTGGAAAATAAAGAAATGGGTAGATAGGTTGTTCCCTATGTAATGCCTGTATGGCCATAACTCTTAAAAGTACTAATTGTTTTTATTAAAATTCTATACCCATATAAATAAAATATTTATGAATAGAATTATTCGAAATATTTTACAGCGGAGTCTATACATTTCTTCTAGCGTTGAATCCACGCTGTAAATCCGTTTTGGAATTATGGTGGAGTTTGTTTTCTCAGCCACGTATTTATGGCCCGTTTTACTTCCTATCGGTCTTCAAATCTTTGTCTCTTCAGACCTTTATTATTGAGGAGAATAAATAAAAGTCATAAAGTGCCAAATTCGGGCTGTATGGGGACTGTGGAACCAGTGATCAGCCAATTTGTCCTATAGTCTTAATTTGTCTGAAGTCTGGAAGGAGGTGTGCGGCCGTGCTTTGTCACGGTGTGACTTGACGGGTTTAATAGAAATCTCTTAAATCACATTATAAATTTGATTGTCAACAAAGTTTCAATAACTAAAATGCATTTGATTGAAATTATAATGAAAACCTCTAGGCTATAATTATGTTATATTAAATTGTCGATCAATACATATCTTTCGAATCGGAGTGTCTGTTTTCATTCATAAACACCAATATAAGTCATACTGATATAAAAAAAAAAGATAAAATTCCGAAAAAATGTTGGGTATTGTTATATTTTTTAATCATTTTAGAGAGTTATCCGAGCCCTTGTTGAGCGAGTTACCCATTGTACTATCTTGAAGCTGTATAGAAAATGCTCTAAATATTAGTGCTAAACAGTCATCTTTCCATTAAGTGACGTAGCGAGAAATGGTATATTTATTCTGATCATTAATTTGTTATTATGTATACATTCTCTTTTGAAAAAAAGTTCTAGAATAAATACAGTGCTACATAGTGATACCATTTTTGAAATGATTGCTATTGCTATCTAGCAAAACATTTCATATTGATAGTTACAGTTTCAGTTAAATTTTAAATAGTAAATATTTACACAACCCACATATACATTAATTCAAATCTAATTTTAAAATACACCGATACCTCGCTTTGCGTCGTCTCGTTTTGCGTTTTTTTCAAAGTTGCGTCGCTACTTAATTTTTAATGATTATTACTGTGCGTCGTTAGGTATTCGAAGTTGCGTTGTTTTGGATTCGAGTCTTTAATTTTTTTTTTTTTGAATTTTTTTTCCTAAAATATGGCAACAAATTTGTTTTTGATAGCGCCTTCACATATTTTTACTTTGCCTCCTTTCAATTTGCGTTGAGTTTTTTTGGAAGGTAACCCCGACGCAAAGCGAGGTATGGGGGTGTACATTATTTATTCATTTTACTTGAACACATAGTGTATGTGTGAACTAATTATCCAAAAAAGCGGATCCCTATATTTCAGAAAACAATTTTCCTTTTTTTTTGCATAAAGACACTTTGTATTTATACATTTTAAAAACTATTATTAATTTCGTATTTCAAAACGCGACATCAATATAAAAGTTGTAAATGCTTAGCAAAGTTTTTCGTTTTTTATAATAAGGAGCATATGTAACATATCGATTTTAACCTTAACAATAATTTCCTAAAAATAAAATTCGTTCATTCCCTGAAAAGGTTATTGAAGTCATAAAGTTAGACAAGGATAGACATCATTAATAATAAGGACTTCATCCAGATTCCTTCTAATTAGAATTAAGAAACTTATTCAAATTACTTTAAATTACAATGAATGATGGTCTCAAGACTTTCTCTGGGAATATCAAATAACAAATTGAGCCCTATGAAACGTGATGCCGGATATTATATATAAAGGAAGTATTTCTATATTTTTAACATTTTTTTTTAAATCATACAATGTCAGATAGAATTCCATTCTTTTTTATTTGGATAAAAATGATTGAATATCTTATTTTTATTCTTACTGAGTGTTATGATATTCAAACACAGAAATTCATTGAAAAATAATCATTACATCAGAGAGAAATTAAACTCGTTTGGAAAAAAATCACACATTTAAGAATAGGCCTGATTATCGGATTATATTTTATTTCTAATTAAGTGTATATAGCAGATAAACATGTTTAAGATTTTCTGATAATTAACACGAACCGAGTATTATATTATCATTTTATTTCGACTTAGAGCGCTATGTACTCCTAGGGACACTTGCACTTAAGGGTAAACTAAACATTGAAATGAAGAAAGATATATATGTCAAATATTTACAAGAATACCTTTTGATTTCAAACTTATATAGCTTTACCAATGGAGCAAGACATTTTCATTTATTTTTGTCATAGATGGCTGAGGGGGGTCGGTGGAAGGCTGGTTAAACCGTTTGGGTTTCGACCAGTTCGACCCGGGTTCGATTCCCGCATTGGACACTTTTTTTTATTTAAAAAAATGCTCCAATGGCCCCCGATTCTTGCAAAACTCCAAACCCCACCACCGAGTGCAAGTAGCCAAACGGGGTTCTGGCACATTTGTAAGTGTAAAGTCGAACTGCTTTTCACATGTGTTGATATGTGGTGCGCTTACAGTAGAAGCAGTCGCTAACTACCCACCATGATTATCATGGCCTGTACCACGTGAACTAGGGATAATAATAAAAATAAAATGGATGGCTGAGAGAGGATTTTACTACATATATTTATATTCTGAATCGTCAAATCATTGTTCTCTTAAAATATATTAATTTAATATATTCATAATTTGGCGCCACACGTTGAAAATAGTCTAATCTAACATTTACAGCGTTTGTGACACTTTTACATCAGTACTAGAGTATACTAGAGTATATAGGTTTGTAAACCTTTCATTATAAAGTATACCTACGGGTTAATATTATTTAGTATGAAATAATACGTTTATTTGAAATATTAATAGGAATAGCATTATTGAAATTTTAAATAGATTAACGGTGAAATCAAAATTTGTTTATACTACAAAAATAGAAAAACATTTTAAAAAGTTATAGATTCCAAATTATAATTTTTATTTTACTAGTTTTCCGAATATTTTAAAATCACAAAATTTAATATACCCTATTTTATTATACAATAATGTATAAAAATATAATGTAATTATGCATCAAGATAAATTTTCATTTGGCAAATATCCAACTATTTCTACAAAATTCCATAAATAAGTACACATATAGAAATACAAATTATATTAAATATGGAGATAGAAATATTTCATTATACACTTACAAAAAAAGGATATTTAAATAAAAACGATGTTTTTAAAATTTTATTTTGTAATTTTAAACAATTTCAACTGTTTCCTCTTGGTAAAAGATCAAGTTATAGATGATATATGCCTCATCAGGAAAGACAACTTACTATAAACATTTTTTAGAATATCCAAATGAGCCTGCAAAGAATAATTACCGATGACAATCTAGAAATACGCACACCGGATCATTGAATCAATTTTTTTTTTTTACGAGTTATTAAGATTAGTTTTAGTGAAAACCTTGAACTTGGTGAACTTCAACCTCAAGGTGGATGCGAAATCCCATCCAACATTGCAGCAAGTTCAAGTAAAGAGGGACCTCCTCTCCAGAGCACGTTATATAAGGGCTCAAAGTTATACTTTCTTTCCAGAGCACGCAAGAGAAATTTGAGCGGCAAAACTTTATTATAATAGCCGACATCAGAGTGGCCTTGATAAACTATTTCCACTTGGAAAATTAGCTCCATGTAATTCAGAATATTAATCTGAATGACATCAGCCATCTCTACGTTATCTAAATGAGATACATTTCAAATATGAGAAATTTATAGAGCCGATATATTCACATATTTATTATTAAATTTTTGAATTTCAACATACTCTTTTTTTTATATATATAAAAGGGCGTACCTGGATCTGTAAAGAAAAAAAAAATCTTTACAGATCCAGGTACACCCTTATATATAAACTAAATTGATGAATTGCCTTTTGACTCAAAAATACTCATTTTTGTTTTGCGAAAAAAAAATTAAAATTTGTTTATATAAGTGACACTAAAATATTGAAATGTTTTATATTTTGATGAATTTGTATCATAAATGCTTCCAAATATTTTGTTTAGAAATCGAGGTGAATTTCTATTTATATTTTTATTTGCAATTTAATATCTCCTTTAAAAAAACAAATATATTTTCATATAATAATTATATAGTAAGATCTATTTCAAAATATTTATCACTCTTATTTTTTCTTAAAAAGTATATTGCCATAATAGTGTTTTATTTTTAAAATAAAACTCTTTCCCAAATTAAAACTGAAAAGGTGAATATAATTTCGGAATGTATTTTAATTTGAATACAAAAAGTAGAAATTAAATATACATTTTCTTTAAACATTTGAAAAGGGTGAATGCCAAGGTTGAAACCACATTTATAGAAAGGTTTCCCAGACCTTAAGAGTCTTGGGTCGAGAAATGAATCTCTCTTTCATCGAAGATAGGTTCTCGGGGTTGGTAAAACGGGTCAGCCAGCGTTGACACACAAAATGTCATGTTTCTTGGGCGCAAGGTTGCGCTGTATATATATCCTTAGCGCTCTAGATGATTGATAGGCTTTGAAAAAAATGGCGCGAGTCCACATTTTGTTTACGTTTAAAATATTTGGTCATACTTTTAGGATTTTCAAGAGCCTTGTAAATTACTTGATATCCTTTTTTTCGTACGACTTCCTAATTATAAGAAGGTTTCGTTTTTACTGTAAAGGTTGTCAATATACTCTCCTTCAGTGGGTTTCGCCCTCTTTTTTAAGGAAACCTCGTTAGGGCCGTTCTCGTCGAATACTTATAGAAATGTGTCGACTCGGTTTTGTAGCTATGATATGCTGTGGTAGAATGTGGCGAAATTTTTAAAATTGCATTGTGTGCATTTACCGCAACTTAGTAATATAAATTTCTCAATACCTTGTAAAAAAGTAACACAGTATAAAAAGATATTAAAAAGTACGCAAGCAACTTGAAAAAAAAAAGATGCAGAACGCTCATCGGTCGCTTAATTGACTTGGTCTTGTTACTTTGCCTCGTATTACTCCGCGTAAAATAGAAAAAGGTTCTTCAAATGAAAATAAAAAGCCAAAAATACTAATCAAAATGTAGCCAAAAATATTCAGGTTTATAAAAATCGACATGCAAAATTTGGTACCAATTGGTTCAGTAGTTTTTTTAGTTTATCACGAAACAGAAAACAGACATTGACGTTTATGTATAATATCTAGCCTATTCATCCACTAAATCCCAGCCTATCCAAATTGGACCATTTTATTCCAGCCATGAAACTAACCAGCTACTCTGTAATTAACGATTCAGCCTGCCAATTGAACAAATTAAATGTAAAATATAAATAATTGAATATTGTATATCGAACAATGTTTAAAATTTTAATCTTTATTTTATAATCTTTATGCCAATATATACAGGGGTTTATAAAGGAATTTCAAATATATTCACAAAAACTGGATTATAGTTATATGGGTGTTATTTCCACTTAATTATAGCTCGATAATTGTCATATATTCTCGGATATATATACATCTGAATAATCATTTTATGGGTATCTAGAATCAAATAGTTGTCCCATTTGTCAAAGAAAATATTTTTTAAAAGGATATCAGCGATAATATTATAGTCAGGCCTCATTATATATATAATATTATATTTAGGTTTTTGTAAGCACAATTTTGTAATATTGAATACTCAAGATCACAAACAATTAAGCAAAACCAAATTAATTATGACAAAAAGAGGATTTAAAACTAGATGCATATATATATCTAAAGTTTTTATAAACTTTCTAAGACATTAAATAAAAAATAATAATAGGTGTCAATATAAAGGTAAGTAAACAAAGAACATTTCCTCCAATTCATATCTTAAAATTAGTTCGGAATTTTAAAATAACCCATTTATAATATCGATCATAAAGTAAATCTAAAAATATATAATCATTGCCTCGTAATATTCGTTTTTCCCCGCTGATTATTCATTCTTTTTTTCATTTTTTTTTATTCGTTAGTTTTTTTATTCAGATTCTTGCGATTCTTCTTTAGCGTTCGTAAATGCTTGGAGACGCCGTAGTTGATTTTCCCAGCAATACAATAGCGTCTGTTGAAGTGGTATCGTACTTTCACCATGCAAGAATCGATGCTCTATGGATATATCATAATAGTATTCTAACTCGTATAGAACTTTTATAAGCATCTTATTTTCTGGAAACCTTAAGGGTTTTCTGTCAAAATCGACTTCGACATCTATAAATATCCCTTCATGAAGCACAAGAATAATGTTAAATTGTTTAGAATCCATCCTTGTTAACTAAATGTGACTCGTTTCAAAATTCAACTTAATAAAGCTGATATATTTACATATTTAGAATTGTTTTTTTAGGAATATTTACATACCTTAGAATGATTTGCAATAAAAAAGATTTGTTATATAATTTTTAATTAAAATATTTTCCTATTTGATTGTAAACTAGAATGATTACAAAATTATTTGATTGGAATAAATATCTCTTTCGTAATATATGAATATATCCGATTCATTTTAATATGGAAAGCTGAAATACTTTTATTTTATCATATATTAAATATAAATATATATATGTATTTTTTTATTCATTTTTATAATTTCCTATTTTTATTACTATAATAGAAAACACAAGGTGCTTCTAATATATTTTAACAGGGATTTGTGTAAGGAACTATAGCTGCTTCTTATTTCTCTGTCTTTGTTACATAGAGGGAAAAAGAATTGGTCAAACGATGATATCTTTCTCAAAGTGCTACTGCGCTGACTACCAGTAAGTTATTGGTATAAAGGTTACAGCGAGCCCACGACAATTATTGAATAAATCGGCAATGGACACAACCTATTTGCATAGAATTTGAGTCGAACTTCAAAAATTAGATAACAGAACTATAGATATATGAATAATCAAAAGTATAAACCAACAATGCCTTTAAACGCGTATTTATTTTAAGTATAAAATATGATTTTGAAATGGCGTAATCATAATTGACGATGATCCAGTAACTATCGTACATTTCTGCAAAGGAATGACCAAAATGTGACACAAATCAGAAAATTAAACGAATAAAACCCTCTGCGTTATAGAGCTTAAAATTGTAATGTCAGGTATTGTGTTTATTCATATATCTCAGGAACACAATAAATTTGAAAGTCCATTTTCTCAGGTTCAACTCGGAATAAAATGAATAACTGCATGTGATGATTCTTAATAAAAACTAAAAATATTTCCTTCACAATCGAATTAAAATTCCTTAAAATATAATAAACCAAAAATGTAGACAACTATTATTAACCTAGTGTTTACCCTATTCAAATATTGAAAATATATTCATGTTCCAATATCACT